TTAAAACTTATATAAATCATAAAGAAGCTGAAGAATTCATTTTCAATCAGTAAATCAACAAACTATTCATTTACAGAAGCTACTAATGAACATTTTAACAATAATTAATAATCGAAATGCTACAACGAATTTATTCGCTCAATCAAGTGCTGATATTACAGATATGCATTCAGTTTTAAAAGATTGTGTATTCCGCTGAATTAAGCGGAAATTTTAAGTATATTTTTATTTAATTAAGTATACAAAGAACGATATTTTCTAGCTTGTAAAAAATAACCTTTCAAAATAAAGTTGTAAGTGATAGAGTGGAAAGGTGAAGAGCTTAATCGAATACATTAACGAAATTATATCTTAATCTTGTGTGCTGAACTTTATCTCCTCTCTTTTATTCATAATCCATAATATTTTTAAAGTAATTAGCAGTATGATGAAGGATGAAAAGATTATTTAGCAACATTGAGTAAAAAGTTAAAATGGTTTGCACATTTATCTTTTAAATTTATTTATTTATTTTCAATTAATAACACAAAAGAAATACATAAAAGAGTTTTGACTCTCGACGATAGCAGACTTTAATTTTCTGAACTTCAGTTGTTAAACAACAATATCAAAACAACTTAAACGTTTGAATTTTTAACAACCGAAGTTCAGAAAATTAAGGATGTTTTGATATGAATGCAGTATGTAACTGATTGAGAAGAAACAATAGTACATCCGCGAGCACAGTTAATTTTTAAATATTCGTTAATCATTTCAGTATCCATTGCTACTAACACACGATTTTTGATACTGCTCAATTTCAGTGCTTGTAATACGTTGATGCTGTATAGATATCCTAGTTGTCGTTTTCTTGCAGTATCTGGTAACTTTTAGTTCGTTTCGTCTATATTTGTTCCTGTTTCTGTTCTTCTTTTCTCTCTCTTTTTCTTTTCCTTATATTTTAAACAGAGCTGATATCTGTATTTAATATTAAATTTCTGTGCATAATGTTCTCGAAGAAAAGTCTGAATAAAATATGGTGTAATCAAGTCTAAAAAACGAAACTAGAGCTATGCGCGCAAAATCAATAATGCATGACTTTCTTAAGGTATGCACATGAGTTTCTTGAGATATGCACATTGTTTTAGATATTTCTTCTGTCATGTGCATACTTCAAGCAACTCAAGCGCACGAGACAAGAAAGTCAAGCACATACCTCAAGCGTTTTGCATGAGTAAGAAATTCATGTACACGGAGACAAATCTTGAGGTATATGCTTGAGAAAAAAAGCTTCACTAGCGTAATATCCATCCTATCATATAATAGGCCAACTTATCATAACACATTGCTAAAACACACTGGTTCATATTAGTGTCCTTGCTTTTGTATAAAAAAGTTGGTTTCTTATAAAACAATGAATTTTTCAAAAAATGGGACCAAGGTTGTAGTTATATTCCGAAAATATCGGATTTCACAGGCTAAAAATTTGGTCTTATAGGCTTTAGATAATCGAGACTACGATGAGTACATGTGAAGATGTTTTACCAAAATATTTCTCTCTTTCGTCAAACAACGACAATTCTCAAAATGATCAAATATGGTTTTCTATTTCTCTCTTTTATGTCTAAAGCACAAAAAGGAGAGAAAATAAGAATGTACAATGTAAAAGGAGTCTAACATTACTTGTTTGCTACGATTCTAGATGAAGAAATAGCATGATACAGTAAAGAACACAAGTTTATAGTAAGTCTTTATAGTATCTATCTATTATAATATTTCTCTAGAACTTAAACTTCCATCACTAATTTGCCTCTAAATTAGACAAAAATTAAGAATTTCACCTGTTTTTCCATAAGATCTCATATTTCACCACTAAAGTTCAACACTGTTTCGATTTTTTTTACAAAGATATCAAACCAATGATCTCACTAATTTTGCCAAAAGTGGAATGAAAAGCCATGTATCACAGATTGTAGAGCGCAAGTTCTACTATTAGGATCTGTGTCTAGTTTGGTTAGCACTGTTACTTTGTGTGAAAAAATTTTGACATCATGGTACAAAAGTGGTACAAAAGTGGTACAAAAGTACACAATTGAGCAACTCCTTTTGCGTAGTCAATAAATAGCTCAAAATTGATCACAGATTTAGAATCTACGTCGAAATCTACGTATATAGAGTTAGTCTCGCATTTACCTATGCATACAATAGTCTAGCAACAGATATACGAAAGTGCTATACATAAGCACTTTTATATATCAAAAGCATTTATATATCAAATTTTTTTTCTTTATTTTTATCGTTCTGTATATGACATCTTTCACTTTTCAAATTCAAATCGTGTATTTAACATAAACCATTTATAATTTGAGCTGAAATTTAAACAAAAATGACGACAGGTCAAGATTCGAAATTTCAAAACTGTACCTTTTATGATCATTTACACGATTGTGACCAAGCATAAAGGCAAAAAGTTCAGACGTGTTTTCAATTGATCAGCGAATGTAACAGTAGGGCTAGATTATGTCTCAGAACTGGACTTAACTGTTTCACGCTGTGGCTTATCAAATATGGAAGTAACAGATATTCGAGAAATCTGTGCAAAACATCGATACAAATTCGGAATTTATTATCAACCATCTCGTTTTTGTCAGCATCCCAACTGCACTAATAAATCTGCTTCTTCAGAATCAACTTCTTTGAATCTGTCACGTTATATTTCTTTTCTTGCTTATTAATTTCTTTAACGTAAAGTTTTCAAGAGAGTGAATTGTAAAATCGGAATAATTTTATAATTCATATTAAATAATTCCCGTTTTCGATTTTAGAGATATGCGCACACTTAATAATTAAGGATTCTCTAGAAAAGAAATATTCTGGGATATTTTAAAATTTATACAATCAAAATTATAAAGCCAAGTTCGATTTTACAAATATTTAAAAATTAGGTTTTATGAAAAAATATTATGTCAAATCGATTTTACAGTTTATGATAGAATCACCCTCCGATATAACATAATATCGAAGCATTCTGTAGGTTCTCTGAAAATCAACGAAAAAATGATTTTGGAAGTTTTATAAAATCCCTACAATTTACAGTGTAGTAGAATTGTTCAAATGTTATCTGGTATGACAAGTCGTTCGATTTATTTTTGCCCAATGTATTCTATGATTATAAACATGATTACTCGAGTGTAAAAGCACTCCGTGTTAATTGGTCATCTCCTCATGTAACATCGTTCGGAGATATTTCACAAATTCTAGCAAAAAACTTTTCAGATTTGTGGATGATAACAATCGGCGACCACTACTGAAATATTGAAAGAAGTGCCATGTTTTCTATAAATTCAAATCTGAAGAATGTCAAACACTTAAAGATCAATCATGATATATCATATTTGGATCAGCTTCTTTTATTAACCCTCGCACGACCACCTACACGACTATCACTTGTTGCCCACCTGGGGTCCGTCCGGACCCCAAGTTGATAAAACAGGTTTAAAAATCACTGTTAAGACATGGAACATTTTTAATAACATATTCGGATTCAGCCTCGAATGATGAATATTTTCAAAAAAAGACCAAATCTCCAGGATAAAATAAGGATTCTGAAATTTAATTTGAAATTTGAAAATTTAACTATTTTGAAAAGTAAAATATCTCAACTCAGATAAGCATTCCAGACTTCGGACAAACGTCATTCGATGGACAAATAAAAATTGAACAAATGCAAGGGCTTGACAATGTTTCCGTATCACGTGATCCTGGCTTTCTCTGGATTTTTTCTAAATCAGGGCGAAAAACTCAGAATTCTGCCCGTAATTCTCAATTTTCTCCATCATAACTCAACGTTTAAGCAATAAAAATATCATATTCGGAACCAGAATCAAAAACTGAATCGAGTGATGTGTATCTCTATCCTATCTGAGTATTTTTAGTTTTTTCGAATTTTACATTGAAAATTTAAATAAATTGAATTTTTCAAATTTCAAATTAAATTAAAAAAGAACAGATTTTATAGCGAATGCTTGATTTTTTTTTGAAAATATTCATCATTCGAGGCTGAATCCGAATATATTATTACAAATGTTCCATATCTTAAAAGTGATTTTTAATCCTGTTTTATCAACTTGGGGTCCGCACGGACCCCAGGTGGGCGTATCAGAGTTAATGACAAATTTACAATATTTATCGATTGATATTGACTATTTCCACATCAGTGTGTACGACTATATCAGTTTAGATGGCACGGAAAAAGACCGGACCGCCTCTAATTTGTCTGGATCAGGTCGAATGCCATCAGCACTGACTATATGGCCCTGATATTGTAATTCCCGGCGACAAAAGAAACATTTCGATGTTTTCAATGTAAGGCCGCTTTCTTTTATCCGATTAAGGACATTATCAATGTCTATTAGATGTTGTTCAAAAGTTGGTGAATAAATTATGACATCATGCAAATAGACCATGCAACAGCTCGACTTCAGGCCTCGTAGAACAAGGTCCATGAGACGCTGGAAGGTAGCCGGTGCATTAGTCAGTCCAAATAGCATGACTTCAAATTGAAAGATGCCTTCATGGGTGACAAAAGCAGTCTTTTCCTTGCTACCTTCATCCAATTCAACCTGCCAAAACCCAGAAGAAAGATCAAGAGTACTGAAATATTTGGCACCTTTAAGTGCATCGAGTGTATCATCTATTCTGGGAATCGGATAGGTATCTTTGATAGTAACTTCGTTCAGTTTTCGAAAATCGATACAGAAACGAAGTTTGCCATCCTTTTTTGGGACTAAGGTAACAGGACTAGCCCATGGTCCGAAACTAGGCTCGGCTACATCGCTTTTAAGCATATCAGCAGTCTGTCGAGTGCATTCTGCTTTCCTTTCCGGGTTTAAGAGGCGGTACGGACCTTGTTTTATCGGTCTGGCATCACCAACATGAATGTGATGCTTAACTGCATTAGTACGGCCCGGCTTTGACGAGAAGATGTCAGAATATTGGAAGAGAAGTTGCCGCAACTGGTTTTCTTGGTCCGAGGAAAGCCCAGAGGAAGCTAAATCAAGTTTAGTTAGCCAATCACCAGGTATATCTGTAGAATCACTGAACGACTCGAATTGCTTCTCGGCCGTTTGTGAATAAAATTGAGGATCGGCTGGCGAAATACGCGCAAGATCGGTTTTCTCAGCCATAGAACGAACTACGATGGCAGTCAAAGGGTCTGGCCTCTCAACTGTACTTTGACCATTAGCAAAAAGCGACAAAGACGAACCGAAATCTCCTTCTCCAACATTAGCATCTTTTCGAATCTTGATTTTCTCATCTTCAATCCGACGTGCAATTGGATCTTGACTTAGCAATCGTCGTCTAAT